CTTAGCGAGAGCAGTGTTGTCCAGCAGAAGTTTCTGTGATGACGTAAATGTTTGCTATCTGCTCGTCCAACAGAGTAGCCACTAGCTGCTGAGACTCACTTAAGACTAATGTGGCTACTGAGTCTCTGAAATGGGGCTACTGTGACTCAGAAACTGAATTTTTAAAAAAAGTTTTAATTAATTTGCATGTAAATGCACACAGCTACATGTGGTCCTGGGTGAGACGGGGCACCAGGCTGTGGCCCACAGTACATTCATCACAGCCAAAGCCCTGGAGGAAACCTACACGCCCAGCAATTAGGGTGGTGAGCCTCACCACAGACAACCCTACAAAGAATGCCGAGCCTCTGGGGCACAGGTAATGGGGTGTATCTCCCAATCTACTCTCCTTTTCTTCCTGAGTCCTAGAGTTCCTGATTTTCATGCAAGTATATGGCTACCCAGAGAGAGGGGGAAATGTCCCAACCTCCCCTGCAGCAGGTATAGTCACACAATTAAGTACTGCCCATTAAGATGAAGCCAAACTGTTACACTGTTACTCCCAGAACCTGCCTTAAAAGACAGCTGCCACATGCCCTTTATCCTTTTTTTCACCCTGCTGCCTGGAAGGCAGATGTGATGGTTGGAGCTCTGGTCACCATCTTGGAATACAAGTACAAGAGCCATACCTCGTGAGCTGGAAGGAGCCTGGGTCCCTGAGAATTCGGTGGAATGGAGTTGTCATATGGATTCAGGATTTTTACACAAGAAAGAGATAAACTTCTACCTTGCTTAGCCACTAATTTTTTTTAAAATTGTTTGTGAAACTAAATCTGGTTTTAGTGCACAGGTTTTATTATTTATTTATTTATATAAATTTATTTATTTTTTATTTTTGGCTGTGTTGGGTCTTTGTTGCTGCACATAGGTTTTCTCTAGTTGCGGTGAGTGGGGGCTACTCCTTGTTGCGGTGTGCGGACTAATTGCGGTGGCTTCTCTTGTTGTGGAGCGTGGGCTCTAGGCGTGGGCTTCAGTAATTGTGGCGCGCAGGCTCAGTAGTGGCGCAAGGGCTTAGTTGCTCTGCGGCACGTGGGATCTTCCAGACCAGGGCTCGAACCTGTGTCCCTTGCATTGGCAGGTGGATTCCTAACCACTATACCACCAGAGAAGTCCCAGCCACTATTATTTTGGGTCTCTGTTAATGAAACTTAATCCTGATAAAGTATTTATTAAAAATAACATAGGTTGAGGACTTCCCTGGTGACGCAGTGGTTAAGAATCTGCCTGCCAATGCAGGGGACAGGGGTTCGAGCCCTGGTCCGGGAAGATCCCACATGCCGCGGAGCAACTAAGCCCGTGTGCCACTACTTAGCCCGCGCACCACAATTACTGAGCCTGCGTGCCACAACTACTGAAGCTCGCGTGCCTAGAGCCCGTGCTCCACAACAAGAGAAGCCACCGCAATAAGCCTGCACACCACAATGAAGAGTACCCTCCACGCTCCACAACTAGAGAAAACCCTCATGCAGCAACGAAGACCCAATGCAGCCAAAAATAAATTAATTAAATAAATAAAAAAAAAACATAGGTTGAGCTGTACACTTATGGTTTCTGTACTTTTCTATATGAAGTACCTCTTAAACTTTACATTAAAACAAAAATTCACTGCTAGTGAAAGAAGCCAGACACAGAAGAGTACATATTGCACAACTCCATTATAAAAATTCTATAGTGTACAAAAGCAGATCAGTGGCTGCTGGCTTGGGAGAGAGGGGTGAACTACAAAAAGACATATACGTGGGCTTCCCTGGTGGCGCTGTGGTTAAGAATCTGCCTGCCAATGCACGGGACACAGGTAAGCCCTTATCTGGGAAGATCGCACATGCCGCGGAGCAACTAAGCCCGTGTGCCACAACTACTGAGCCTGTGCTCTAGAGCCCGCAAGCCACAACTACTGAGCCTGCGTGCCACAACTGCTGAAGCCCATGTGCCTAGAGCCCATGCTCTGCAACAAGAGAAGCCACTGCAATGAGAAGCCCCCGTTCGCGGCAACTAGAGAAAGCCCACGTGTAGTAACAAAGACCCAACGTAGCCAAAAATAAATAAATAAATTTACCAAAAAAAGACATACAGAATTGTTTGGGGTGATGGAAATGTTCTGTATTGTGGTGATGATTTTCAGGGTATATACACCCAACTGCATTATATATTTAACTGGGTGCAGTTTAATATACACGAATTATGCCTAAATAAAGTTGATATTTAAAAAGGAATACTCCCGTAGTGATTAAGAGATTAATTTAGCTAAGAGGTGAAGGACATTCTGAAGCAGTAAGACGCACTGGTACAACATGATTTTGCATTTTGCATTTTCTTTTTCTTTTATCCTTGTAAGGAGCTGTTATCTTTCTTCCTCCTTTTTTTCCCCTTTTTTTGGTAAGTCAAATGCCCTCATGTTTTTGAGCACAAAAAAAAGTGTACTTCAAAAATATTTTTAGTGTGGAGAAGATTACTAAAGGTTGTTAATGTGGAAAAAAACAAAAAAGAATGCATATACGTGTGTAACTGAATCACTTTGTCGTACAGCAGAAATTAACACAACATTGTAAATCAACTATACTTCAATAAAATAAATTTTTTTTTAAAAGTAAAACATAAACTGCTTGAACAGTAAGATCCAGTTTTTGTTTCAAAAAGGGGACCTAACAAATGTGTGCTTGCTAAAATGACTGGCAGGGGAGACAACAAACATTAATAGTGATTATCTCAGGATGTAGGGACTGTCTATCAGTCATTTTCACTTTCTTCTCTACACCTCTCTGTTGTGTGAAACTACCTTTTATAATCAGGAAGAAAACAACAAAATGATTAATTACATAATCAAAGAAACACATGCCCATTTGCCGTGGTTGGGCAGGCTCTAGCAAGGGAGGGCTTCATTTCATTCAACTTGCCTGGACACCAACCAGAAAAGTCAGGTCGTCCAGAGTAACAAAAGACACCGGACTGAATCTTAAAATCCATGATCACATTCTGACCGTGCTAATATCTGCTAAGTTTGAGTCATTTACTCTTTATTTTTTTTAAATTTAATTTAATTTTTTTATACAGCCGGTTGAGTCATTTACTCTTTGGCTCTCTTATCTCCTTATCTGTCCAATGGGATGGTTAGACTCAATTACTGCCAAAGCACCTGTTTCTCAGTTTTCAAAACTCCCAGCTCTGATGCAAGCCAGCAGCAGTGATGGTAACTGATCCTGTTTTAAAGGAAAGCCAGGGGAAGGATGCTAAATGGTCCTCAACCCCCATCTGCCTCTGCCCCCCACGAACCACTCTATCATGGGTAGCGGGAGGCTTCCTGCCAACAGACATGAAAAGCCATGCTCAGTTCAGACACAGGACCAGCATGTGGTCCCGTCAGCAGAAACTTCTCCAGAGCCCTCAATCTAGAATCTTTCTTCTCCCCCTGTTCCTTTGTTCTGGGCGGGTTCTCACAGCTTCCCCATCCACCACCGAAAATAACCCAGTCACTTCAAGAGAGCTTTGGAGCACACAGACCATGCTGAGCAATTAGGCCTTCATGGTGCCACTGCTGGCGAGCTGTCATTAGTTTAATGAAGGACTATTAAAAACACATAAAAATCTCAACCAACAAAAATAAACAACACAGCCAAAGCCAGCATCTTAAATGTATAGCAGGCCGTGTGCAATGTGAGAATCCCCCACCAGCATTCAAAAAGACGGACTGGGGCTTCCCTGGTGGCGCAGTGGTTGAGAGTCCGCCTGCCAATGCAGGGGACACGGGTTCGTGCCCCAGTCCGGGGAGATCCCACATGCCGCGGAGCGGCTGGGCCTGCGAGCCATGGCCGCTGAGCCTGCGCGTCCGGAGCCTGTGCTCCACAACGGGAGAGGCCACAACAGTGAGAGGCCCAAAAGATGGACTGCCTGGGAGCCCAAGTCTTTCATTGGCTTCAATTTTTAAAATTCTCATTGTATGGAGACGTGACCACACATACACACACGATATTAATTCTACAAAGTGGTTTTCAATTCTGACCAGGAAAAAAGGTGTACACTTTGGAGAAAGCATGGGAAGGCACTCTTTGGACTGGTCTCCCCTGCATTCCTTTGATCTTTGCAATTTTCACCTGACAAAGTGAGGCGAATGCCAGATTACTTAATTTCCTACCCTAGGTGCTCAAATTCCTGAAAGGCCGCTTCTGCTACAAAAGAAATTGCTCAAAAGTGACTCAAAGGGGTTATCCATTCACATGGAAGCTCTTTACTTTCCCTTTTTTTTTTTTTTTTGAGATGGCAGCGAAGGCAGCTCTGATTCCAAGGGGAGAAGGATGAGAAGATGCAGCCCAGCTTCCCGTGGGCTGTTCCCCAGGGACCCCGACCACGACTTTTAAAGGCAGAGGGGAACAAGCCAGGAGCCCAAGACCAAGTGCGGAAACTTCCATTGACCCTCCCAAGCCACTAGCCAATAGAAGCTGGTTCTTTAATCTGATCTTTTCCCTTTACAGGCAAAGATAAAGCTGTTCTTAGAAAGACCTGTCAGCAGCAGATTGTTTTTTTTTCCTTTAAAAACAACAACCAACCACACCATCAAACCAGTAGAGTAGCATCATTCAGAGGGGCCAAGTTCCTCTTCCTGCTCAAGACAGTAAGTAGGAGAAATGTATAAATTAATAGAATACTTCACTCCCAGGTAAGACTCCACAATCAAAGTAGTCCCTGGCTTTCCAAATGTTAGTGCTGTCAATTTCCCGAAGAACAAACACCCACCCTTCTCCCAGATTTACAAATAAAAGCCAACCATGAGTGGGAGAGGAAATCTAACCGTCAAGGAAAGGCTGGGGCAAAGCAGGAAGTGATAAACAAGGCTGCCAATTCACTATTCTCCCCAGAAGTAAGTGCACAGAACACAGAGGCCATTCTTCAGGACTGGCTGCAATGATGCTAGCAGTGGCCCTGTGTGATCACTCCTCCTGTGAGCAGAAATATCAAGGCTGCTTTACCTTCAGAGCACCGCACAGTTCAACCGTGTCTGCATCATCCACCACTGTAATCCGAAAATTTGGAGTCTGCAGAAGTTCTTTGAAGAGAAGGCCGTTCTCTATTACCTTGCTGCCTATTGAAAGGTTAGAAAAAAGGAAATTAATAACAGCCTCTCATCTTAATTTTTGCATCTAACACAGTTTAAAATGACGTTTTTCTTATTACAAAAATAACATATTTTCCTGATAGGAAATTTTGAAGAGTCATAGGACTAGAAATAGAAAATTAAAATATTCCACAATCCCACCACAGGATCATTAACAATTTGGCATACATCTTTAACTTACTGAAATAGGAATGAATATACATAGTTTTTCTCAAAATTGAGAACATATGTGATTTCATAATCTGCTTTCTCCCGTTTATGGCAGGAATAATTTTCAGTGACATCATACACTTTCTACTTTACTTTAAATGGCTGCTTTGTAGTTTACTGCATACACGCATTATATTTTATCTAAGCATCTTTCTATTATTTGATATCTAAAACTGTTGCAACTTTTTGCTACCATACACACTTATAAGCTCCTTCCAGGGGAGGAAAGTACATCCCTTTCTACCAGCATTTGGCTTGACCAGAGGATGTGCCTGGACTCACAGAGGGTGGGACAGATTTCCCCACCCCTTGATCTTGGGCTTAGTCATGTGACTGGCTTTGGTCAGTGGGACATTAATAGACCTGACACAGTGGAGGCCTGAAGCCTATTTGTGCAGCAGTAGGGCTGGTTCCCTTGTCCCTCTGCCTTCACTGTGAGAATACATCCTGGCTGGCCCGCTGGACTCTACAGGAAGATGAGACAAAGGAGCAAAACGACCCCAGCTTTGATCTGCCAGCCTCCAGCGGACCCACAGCTAACCCACGTGTTAGCTGTGCTTATTTTGGATGCCACTGAGAATCTGGGATTGTTTGTTACTTAGCATCACTATGGCAACAAGAGAACTGATACAACATCAACAAACATGTTCCTGATAATTGTGGAAGACGGAAATGCATTCAAAGGGTCCTCATTTTTGTTCCCGTTGTATCCCCTCCCTTGGGACCGTGCTTAGAATGACACAGAGGATCAGTACTTTTCACCTTATTTTTTTGGTTAGCGACTTTCAGTTCAAAGCAAAAATAAAACTTTACACATAGAGCCTGATGTGAGATCTGCTCTGGTTGGTGGGATGCAGCGTGGCGCTCTGCTCTGGGAGGGCTCCAGAAATCAGGATGATAAAATTCACCAGCCAAGACCTAGCTCCCACGTGATGATCTCCACACAGAGCCTGGGGACTATGGCACTTTGGCCCTTCCTGCCTCGAGGTTCTCAAGCCTATTCCCAAGCTTGTTTTCACATTACAATCACCCAGGATCTTTAAAAACACCAAAGTCTGGCCAAACCCCAGACCCATTAAATTACAAGCTCTGGGGTGGAGCAGGCATCACTAATTTCTGAAGCTCCCCAGGTGACTCCAATGGGCAGACAAGTTGGCAAACCTCTGATTTAACCTCCTCTAGCCTCATGAGTAAAACACTATGGCACTCAGGACTGGCTGAGGTTAAATAGGAATCAGGTGTGAAAACAGCCTAGGCTCACAACGATCACACAAAGGTCTATATAATAATAATAATAAGATAGCTGATACTTACATGCCTATGACTGATTTGCCCCATTGACAGACAGGAGGCCCAGAGAGGTTTACCAAGTTGCCCTAGGTCACACAGCTGGTAGGAGGTAGAACCCCAATTCTAACCTAGGTGCTCTGGCTCCAGGGCCCGCACTCCCTCTCTACACTATGTTCCTCTCAGGGGTGGGAAAAGAGAAGATAAACAAGCAACAAACATCACAATCAGAACTATAGTCTTCCAACGCAGGAAAAAAAGAGGATTGTCAACAATCAAAATTACACCCAGAAGTAATATAATGTCAAAATGATCCAGGGGAGAGTGGAAAGAGGGTGGGAAACAGGTGAAATATGGCCAGCCAGCAGTTAATCATCACTAAAGATGGGCAGTGGTGTCATGATACTGTTCTCCCTACTTCTGTTTGGTTTAAGGAAATTTGCCATCATATAATAAAATATTTAAAATACTTACACCCGATACTTAGAAACACATTTTCAGGACCTCCCTGGTGATCCAGTGGTTAAGAATCCATGCTTCCAATGCAGGGGTTACGGGTTCGATCCCTAGTCGGGGAACTAAGATCCCGCGTGCCGTGCTGTGCGGCCCCAAAATAAACAACAACAAAAAAAGAAACACATTTTCTATTCTACAGGCATTGCTATGATGTCATTTAGCTGAGTTCTCCTCTGTCCAAATATTAGAAGTATGTCCGCTTGAGCAAACTGTCCTCTTCCTTTTTTAAACAGTCCTCCAGACCAGCAGCACCGTTTCTTCACCTGGGTTGGGCAAACCAGCCCCGGTCTCACATTGTGATGTTATTCCTGTCTTTTTGCTCTGTCCTCACCGCCACGGCCACTGCCTGGTGCCTCTGACACGAGGGAGGCTCACAAGCATTACAGACAGGCCCTCACTCCTCCCACTCGAGCCACTTTAATCCAACCATCAGCAGCTGTGAGTAACCTGACACATGGCAGGGAGAAGACTGTTCTCCATTTGCCACTGATACAAGGTGGCATCTGCTGGTACCTCTGTGGCTGCAAATTACACATGGTGTCCATTAGATAGGTGAGCTTGATTTACAGCAATCTTACATTTTCTCAAATTCACCTTTTATTTATTTTTTTCCATTATGGTTTATTATAGGATATGGAATATATTATATATTGAATATAGTTCCCTGTGCTATACAGCAGGACCTTGTTGCTTATCTATTTTATATATAGTAGTTTGTATCTGCTAATCCCAACCCCACCCCCTTTCCTCTTTGGTAACCACTGTTTTCTATGTCTGTGAGTCTGTTTCTGTTTTGTAAATAAGTTCATTTGTATCATATTTTAGACTCCACATATAAGTGATATCAAACGATATTTGTCTTTGTCCGACTCACTTCACTTAGTATGATAATCTCTAGGTCCATTCATGTTGCTGCAAATGGCATTATCAAATGTACCTTTTAAACTTTTAGATCTTTTATTGTTTTAAATCATGGATAAGAAAGCACTGACCGTATCATTATTACCAGTCATGAGCAGTGATGCAGCAAGCAGGGACCCATGGCATGTGGTCCAGAACTGGAAAGGCCCATCAGCCACATGGAAGGGCTCCCCAAACTCAATATGAACCAAAACACAGGAAAATTCCACTTCTCTTCCACACCAAGTTTTGGAGATAATCAACCTATTTAATAAGACTCCTTCAAAACACTCATCTCAGTCTGTAATTCCCTATTGTTTGTGTACCTAGAAGCTCCTTCTGCATAGAAGGGGCTTATGAATCCTTGACATTTCGCATCATGACTGATACATAACAGACTTGAACAATATTTGTGGGTTGAGTGGAAGTCTCGGACTCTGTGAAGTCAGTCCCAAGGAGGAAGGGATTTCTCACCACGAGGGGGTGCCGCAGTTCCCCATGCTCGTTAGTATTTTTACCAGACACTGAAAACAATGCCATCTTCCTCCTCCTCCACAGGAGACTCAAGTGGACTAAGATTCCTGAATCTGTCATAATTAAAAATGAGTTGGCTGCTAATGCCATCAAGAAAGGAGACCTGGATAACCACAGCACAACGATCAAATCCGGAAAATTTAACCTTGACACAATTATCTGACTACAACCCATATTCAAATCTCCCCCATTACCCCAGTGTTGCCTTTATGGCAACCAGGATCCAGCCCAGGATCCTGCACTGCACTTAGTGGTCAGGTCTCTCTAGACTTCTCCTTTAGCCTTTCAATATCTTCTATGACACTGACATTTTTCAGGAGTGTGGACCAGTTGTTTTGTACCAATGTCCCTTCCTTTGGGCTTGTCTGATATTTCCTCACAATTAAATTCAGATAAAATAAGAAAATTTTTAAAATATCACTTTCCTGTTCTATCTTACTTTCAACAGTTAATTTAATTTAATTCAGGTCACTCTTACCAGCCATGGACCAACCCACAGAGAAGGCAGTAGAAGCACTGGGTAAACAGAAGCCAGAGGAAGAGATGTAACTTCTGTGCATTTGTCTGTGTTACACACCAAAAAAGTCTAATGCACCCAACTGGGAAAAACAAGGCCAAGAGGCATGTAAAAATCCTAGCTAAAATCTACAGGTTTTTTTTTTTGGCTGCTTCAGGTCTTAGTTGTGGCATGTGGGATCTTTCATTGCAGCATGGGCTCTTCGTTGTGGCTCACAGGCTTCTTTCTAGTTATGGTGTGCAGGTTTTCTCTCTCTAGTTGTGGTGCGTGGGCTCCAGGGAACGTGGGTTCTGTAGTTTGTGGCACACAGGCTCTCTCACTGAGGCGTGAGCTCAGTAGTTGTGGCACATGGGCTTAGTTGCCCCCAGCATGTGGGATCTTAGTTCCCCAACCAGGGATCGAACCCGCATCCCCTGCATTGGAAGGCAGATTCTTCACCACTGGACCACCAGGGAAGTCCCTCAAATCTACAGTTTTGAATCAAGGACTGGAGAAGTCTCAACCCTATAGAATGATTGGTGTAACCAGTCAGTCCTAACCAACTGATTAGCAAATTGATTACTGGCAAATAGGATTGAGCTGGAACAACTAGTTAACAATTATTTTTGAAAAATAAAAGTAATTACACAACAATTTGACAGGCTACATTAAAAGCATAGATGAATAAAAGAACTAACTATGAAAGAATAAAACCTATATACAGACTAGCATACATATGAAAATTTTTTTTCTGGAAGGATACATAGGAACTGCTAACAGTGATTCTCTTTGGGAAGAGGGAATAGGTGGGAAATTACAATCTTAATTCTAATTTATACCTCCTTGTACTATTTGAATTTTCTTACCTGTGACTACATTGCTCTTGTAAATATCAACCTGGGTAATGTTATTATAGGTCATTTTGTTTTCCTCCTTTTACTATTTGTGATATCTCTCCTCTCCAAAATTACTGTTTCTCCCCCCTCAAAAAAAATGTTTTAAGTGCCCAGATAAATGGATTGTCAACAGAATGCTACGCAACTATGAAGATGTATGCTGACAGAAGTAAATGAAACAATTATAAAAGAGTATATAACAACTACAGCCGTAAGTAGTTTGCCACAAATAGACAAAAATAATGAAATTTAAATGAAATTAAAAATGGTTTTTGTAAGTCAGAGAAAGACAAATATCATATGATACTGCTTATATGTAGAACCTAAAAAAAGTGGTATGAATGAACTTATTTACAAAACAGAAATAGTCACAGACATAGAAAACAAACTTATGGTTACCATGGGGAAAAGCAGGGGGAGGGATAAATTAGGAGTTTGGGATTGACATATGCACACTACTACATATAAAATAGATAACTAATAAGGGCCTACATATAGAGCACTGGGAACTCTACTCAATACTCTGTAATTACGTATATGGGAAAAGAATCTAAAAAAGAGTAGATATATGGGTACGTATAACTGATTCACTTTGCTGTACAGAAACTAACACAACACTGTAAATCAACTATACTCCAATAAAAATTTTAAAGAAATTTTTTAAAAATGGTTTTCTTTCGATTATATCTATTTTCCACTGTAATCAGATAATGTCTGTACAACAGAGCTTCCTTTAACAAAGCTGCCAAGGAGAAATGATTCACATTGCTGGTGTGTTTGACAAGGGTGGAAGTAAGTTCTGGAGTGGTAGATAAACTTAAATACACTTTTGCAAAGCACCTGCAAACCCAACAGTATTACTCTTCTGAAGAGTCCTATAATATGGGCACTTGGGAATTCCAAAGCCCTTTTTAAAAGAAACAAAAATTTTCACAACACCAATGTGTAAGAGTAGAAAGAGCTTTCTGTTTCAAGGAACAGGAGACCCAAGTTCACGCCTGGGTTCTATATTAGCTGTGTGACCTTTGGGGCTGGTAACTTACTCTCCGGGCCTTGGTCTTATTCACCTGAAAGTGGGGATCATTCCCATTAATTTCTAGATCTCCTTGGAATCTAATGAGGATCCAGATCCTGGCACTTGTGAGTAAAGGAAAGCTGGGTTTCCCTTATAAGAAGACGTACCAGAGAACTTGCTTTCCCTGATCCCACCCCCCCCACCCCCATGTAAGAAGGCAGCTGTCTGCAAGCCAGAAAGAGAGCCCTCATCATAGAAAAGTGTTGGTTAAACCTTAATCTTAGACTTTCTAGCCTTCAGAACTGTAAGAAATAAATTCCTGTTGTTTAAAAAAAGAAAAAGAAAAGCTGGGTTTCTAAGGCCCCACCATGGATGTAACCACTTGCTTCTTGGTACAAGTACCCTTGTGTTTTTGTGTTTAACCTCGATAATGCATTACTGGATCACAGCAGGTCAACATGGTCTCCTTGGCTTTACTTTCACTCCAGAGGTTACTGAAATGCTTCAGTCCCACAGAATGGCCTCCTACATAAAATTCCCACCCCACTGAATGTCCACCCCAAGAATGTTAAGGGCAGGAGGGAAGAGTCCACTATAGAAAATTCCAGAAACAGAAAGTGTGCCTGTTAAGACACCCAATGTCCCTTCCCCAGGTGGCCCTCACCGATGGTGGTCTCGCAGAACTTCCCAGCGGCCACCTCATTGGCAATGTTGGCTCCCATCAACACGCTGATGTCAATGCCCATCTTCTCTCGGATGATGTCGGAAATGAGCTTCAGCCCCTCAGGACCCTCATCTATGCCCTGCAAGGACGTCAGCAAGTTAGGGGAAAACGAACCACCAAGGACAAGAGGCAGGAGATCATTGCTTTATAGGTCACCTAGATTCAGACCTCCAATTGTATACGCAACTTGAAAAACCTCTCTTATTTACAACAGTAAACAGACATACTGTGTATGTACCATTTAAAGAGTAAAATTAAATGAAAATGTAACCACCCAGGTTAAGAAAGAGAACATGAAGGACACCACTGAAGTCCCCTGTGTCTCTCCCCAAGTGCATCCTCCTTATTAGTGTTTCCTCGTCCCCACCAGGGTGAAGCCCTATCCTGAATGCTTTATGCCCTGTTCCCTTGCTTTTCTTGATCATTTTGCCACATAAAACTACACCTAAACAGTAAGTTATATCAGTATATTTTTGAAAACCTATAAATGAAACTGTACTGCTCACCTGTGTGCTGTTTTGTGCTATATTATTACTGTGGAGATTCACCCACACGGCTGCATGAATGCTCTGGTTCATTCCCATTTACTACTGTGTAGTATTCCACCATTCATCTGTCCAGTCTATTGATGACTGACATTGAACTGTTTGCTTTCATAAACATTCACCTATGAACACTATGGAACACACTCTCTCACAGAGGGTTCTTCCCCTGGCAGCCTGGGGAAGTTTATGGACTCATTCTCAGACTTCATATGCATAAAGCAAAATACATAAGATTACCCAGGAAGACAATTATACTGAAATACAGTTATCAAATGTTAAAAAGAAAAATTTGTGACAAAGTAGTATATGTATGTTATCAATGTAATTATAAAAAGATGTCATGGCAGGTATAATAATTACCATAATTTCCAAGTAGTGATGAGCATAAATGATACTTTGAGATATCTGAAGCCACTGTAAAGTGATACGAAAATACCTGTAATTTCTATTGATCACAGGGTCAAGGTCCTGCTAGTACTACTGTCATTGAAACTCTGGCCTGTGGCCTTCACTCACAAGCGAAGGAAACGCTTGTTTCAGTTAGAGGTTAAAATGAATAAAAATGCAATTCCGCCCCCACATTTAGGACCATGAACTCTTGAATTCTATCTGTGGACCACTGTGGGTGGTTTGTGGACTTCTGGTTAAAAACTCTCTCTTTTGGGAATAAACCCAGGAGTGGGAAGTAAAGATGATTAATTTCCCAGCGAATGCAAACCAGGTAAGATTTCCAGAGCTGGTGGTTCTTTCTTTGGGGGACCCCACTCTCGCGCCCCCCGCCCCTGCCCCTGCGAACCCTCTCTACATAGAAAGCAGCCCCTCCTAAATGTGAGAGGAGCAAGGCTCGTGGATGGCGTGGTTTTGATTCTCTTCCAGGCATCTTTAAAAAAACAAATCCAAACCAGCCATAACTTCCCTTCAGCGCCTTATCTCCAAGAGGTGAAAGAGGAAAGGAAGTTCCCAGTAACCGGCGCGCAGCGAGGGCCCGTCACCTTGATGAGGGTGATGCCCAGCGCGTCCTTGGGCACCCTCCCCGTGATCTCTTCGCAGATCCGGTGGATGAACTGGTGGGGGATGACAAACACCAGCAGGTCTGCATCCTGCACGGCCTCGCTGAGGTTCGCAACAGCAACCTGCGAGGGCGAGGGGGACACGGTTACTCCCAGTCAGAAACACATCTCTCCACGCGCTGACCAGGCATCAGATGCCTCCGCTGTGCAGACTGACAGTCAAATCAGAGCTCTGTTTGTGCTGCCTTCCCCACTCGGGACGTGCAGACGTGCATCTGAGGCCAGCAGGGTCCTGCCTCTGCTGCTTACCAGCTGGGGGAGTGCCCTACCCTCTCCCCACCTCAGTCCCCTTCCCTGTAAAAGGCGGCCATAACCATCCTGTGCGGGTGGTTCTCTGTTGCTCTCCCACCCACCCCCACCCCACTCCCCCGCATCCATTTCTACCATTCTTTGCCCCACTCTCTCCCCAGGAGGCTGCACTCTGTGGGCTGTTTCCCCAGGTGCCCTTGCTCTCTGGCTTCCAGGTGGCTTCAGCCCAAGGCGGGTACTGTCGGGGGCTCCAAGGTGGGAGGAGAGACAGGCAGGGTGTTGACTTGCTCCTGGGGCCACTCCTACCCGGCTCGCAGGGCTGCTGGCCTGGCTTCCTTCTACAGCTCCACCTCCTGACCTGGTCTGAGGCAGCCCTTCTTCCACGTCTCTAAGCTCTGGTGGGGCCGGTGGAGTGACACTGGTCTGTCCCCTTGCCCTTTCAGGGGTGGCCATGGCTTCCTGCTGCTGCTAATCTCTGCACACTTCACCGAGCCCTTCTGGTTCCCTTGACTCCGCCCAAGCCTCTGTCAACAGTCCTATGCTAAGCTCTCCTATGTAAGCACTTTAAGAGCGCTGTTGTGAAGAATAAATGACATAGAACAGAGTCTGGCACCTGGTAGGCACTCAATAAATGTCAGCTATTATGATGATTTCTTCCCTTCAGATAAGTACAAAGATGGGGTTTAAAATTTAACGTGGGCACGTACACACACACACACACACCCACCCACCCAGAGGCAGAGGTGAGGCCACCAAGTGAGGACACAGGGGCATGTGGTCTCTATCAGAGACTGCCTGTTGTTGCCCAATGTCTGTTCTCCCCCTTCTTCCTCAGCAAGAGAACCCCCAGTTTAGGGTGAGACTCATAACTGCCAGGAAAGAAGGCTACATCTCTAACCTCCCTTGCAGCTAGGTGCCCTGTGTGACTAAGTTCTGACCAATAAGGTGTAAATGGAAGTGTTGCGTGTGACTTCCAGGAAATGCCTTTGAAGGCCTTTCTTCCTCCTTTTGCCAGAGGGAATATGAAGAGATGGCTGGAATTCAGGCAGCCATCTTGGACCATGAGGAGGAAAGCAAATGCTGAGATGGCAAAACAGAGTCCCTGACATCATGATGCATCATTACAACAAACGTGTTTTTTTTTTTTTGAAAAGTATATAACAGATTTCTTTTTTATTTACAATCAAGTTCTGTTGGGCAACAAAATTAAATAAATAAAAGATGTGATGAACGTCTTTTATCTAAGAGAAAAAAAGCACAAACGTTTACTTTGCTTAGGTCACTGTTATTTTAGGTTTTCTTTTTTTTTTCCTTTATTTATTTTTAATTTTTTTATTTTTTGGCTGTGCCACATGGCATGTGGGATCTTAGTTCCCCAACCACAGATCAAACCCACGCCCCGTGCAGTGGAAGTGTGGGGTCTTAACCACTGGACCGCCAGGGAAGTCCCTATTTTAGGTTTTCTGTCGTATATACCTGAACCTAACTGAAACTGACATAGTTCCCATTAAGCACTCCTGGTTCCCAAAATGAAGGGAATTGGATGCAGAATCTTCCCTGAGGAAGTGCTATCTGCCACAGGAACATCATTCAGAATGGATAAGCCTCCTAGGAAATCTAGTTTGGGAGTTGTGATGGAGATGCCAACTGCTTGACAAAATTTCTTCTCCCCTTTCTCCATAAACACAGAGCTGCAAGCTGGTCACTGGTCACCTAGCTCAGGACTGCATTTCTCAGCAGCCATTGCAGTTACACAAGGCCAAGGACCAAGTTCTCATCAACAGAATGTGAGACAGAGCAGTGCACACCACTCAAGGCCCAGAGCCCTTAAAACATTGGCTGCTTCCTCCACACTTTCCCTTCCTACTTTTGTGCTAGGTGACAACCTAGATCTAGGAGATGGCACAGAAATGATGAAGAAAGATGGGACCAAGAACAATGGTGTGAAGCAAAGCTGCTAGACCACTATTACGTGAGAGGGAAATAAAATCCCTTTGTCCTTTAAAAGTCACACTATTGTCTCTCCTTACAGCTTAGCCTAGCCTATTAACTAACGTGTGCAAGAGTTACTCCCTCACTGAAAAAATTCCCCAAGGGAATCTACCTGGCACTATTTCACTCCCTCCTCCCTTTGGCTGGTATGCAAGACCTGTCATTTACCACCCAGCCTTCATTCCCCTTCTTTCTAGCAAAAGTGCCTCTAAATTTCATTTCAAAAGCTACTGCTTTCCCATTCTACCATGCAATTTGGGTGGAATGGGCCCCTCCCCTGCTCCATGGATGGTCCTTAAGTTGTTCAAGCCAATGGGCACATAAAACAATAGGAGCCAATGTTTGCTGGAGCTTCTGAGGAACAGTTGTTTCCTTAGACTTCTGCAACAGCTATTGGGTCTTTCCTTGAAAAGTATGGGATGACAGTGCAAGGTCTGGAACAGCTACAACCGTTTTACAAATGTGAGGGGCAGAACCTAGACCTGCCAAGGGGCTCCCATGTGAATGAAGGCAGAGCAGAGAAACAGAGGAAAACAGGGTCTCACTGACATCACTTAAGCCACTGTGTCAGGCCGCACCTGAAACGGGCCCTACCCGAATTTTTAGTCGTATAACCCAAAACATCAGCTTAAGCTGATCTGAATGGCAACAAAGTCGTTCCCCATAGAGCAGAACACAACCCGGAGCTTAGCACTTCTCCCTCCTTATTCATACCCCCAAAGGCCGGGGGAAACCTGCCTTCCTCTTCAAAGGGGCTTCTTCAGGTTGGTAATCCAGGCTGGATAGCAAGGACTCATCACCAAAACTCTACCTGCCTATTAGTTCCCTGGCATCTGGAGATTCTACCTCCTCCAAAAAAGCAGTTACTTATTCTATTCCATTAGCCCCGATGCCAACATACAATGGCTCTGTTTGTCCCTGATTGGCAAGGCTCATTATGTTCATACACATACACACATTATGTTCTTCTCCCTGTGGTCCCAGCCAGAAGCACCAGCCTTTGTAAGACCTCTGACCCCCCACTCCCCCTTCGGTTACTAGCCTTACTTAGGTAGGGACTTCTGCTCTCGACCCCCTTCTCATACAGAGCCTGGCCACCTAAATTTTAATGAAAACCCTTCTTCTCTGGACCTGTTGTTTCTCCTCTTCCCCATCCACCTCCACACACACACACACACACACACACACACACACACACACACACACAC